CCCCAAAACCCCAAAACCCCAAAACCCCAAAACCCCTCTTAAACATCCATGGATTGAAATATATATAATTGATTATCAGTAGTAAAGAAATGGGTAGGTCAAATCTCTCTCGAGTTCTTAGCTGCCAAACAGAGGTTTAGGGTGCGTCAAATAATAGCTGGGTTTATTAGACACACCTTTGGCCACTCTTTAAGTCCTTTTGAGTAGTCTAGAACTATATGCTCAGTCTTTGTAGAACAATTGATAGACAAACAATGTGTCTTTGTTTCCAATATTATCGTAGTTTTTAGTTGAGGTTCTCAAAAATATTTTCCTAGGTTTTATAACAAAATCTGAGCTAAATAGACTGCTAAATTTACCTTCATTTCTGACATCTTGGCTAAACCCAGGTATAATTATTTTCTAGATGATTTGGGGCAATATTTCGAAGAAAATTTGAAGATCAAAAAGAATTGTATTCTGAATGAAATACTTAATGAAGAAGCTGGATATGATTATCACTTGGATCCTAATTTTGATTTCGATAACAGGAAGGTTAAACAGATTAAGGCTGATATTCGTTTAAGTGAGAGAGTTTCATACAAATTACGAGAAAATCGATTGGAGTCTGTTAAAATCAACCAAGAAAATGGAATTAAGCTATCTCCAGAACTTGAGGTAGGCACTCAGGGGGATCATAATCACTCATTTCCATGCTGGATTACTCTCTAGCTTTACTGAATAATATTCTGACTTCTTATAGGCAAGTCTAGAAAAGAAGTACAACAGTGATCTCAAGGAAGAAGACTTCTCAGAGATATATGAAGATGAGTTTGATGAACTGAGTGAATTTAGGACAAGTGACTCTGATATTTACAGACACACCAAGACTGTTGAATTAGAAGAGAAAAATCCTGGAAAGATGCTAGCCAGACCTAAATTCAGGCTCAAGGACATCTGAGAGACATACAACTACCCCTTCAGTCTGAATGACCTTGACAAGACTAAGATCAGGATTGGCAAAGGGGGTTATGGGGAAGGTACTTTTCTAGAATTTTATCTATATTTAGTCTTTTTGGTCAATTGAAAGCTGAATTTCCAAAAATACGCTCTTAAGAAATTGTTCAAAGAAACAATTATTCTCTCTGGATTCAAGAGACTCATAATGAGGGAGAAGGAGATCACAGATGAGTTAGATCACCCAAATATAGTAAGACTTGAAGGATACTTCCATGATTCTGACAACTGTTACTTCCTATTTGAACTCTGTCCAGTGGGTAATCTCCGGACTATGATTACTAATTTTGGTAAGCTCAGTGTGGATCTCACAAGATTTTACATCATGGAGATTATAAATGCCTTGGTGTATCTGAGAGACAACAAAATAGTGCACCGGGATATGAAACCCCAGAATATATTACTTGACGATACACTCCACATTAAATTATGCGATTTTGGAGCTGCCAAGAAATATGACCCTGAGGAGGTAGCCAGCGCTATTAGAGAAGATATCGAGCTCATGGACGATAACTCCGATGGTGAGGAAATCTCTGACTCAGACTCTGATAGCGACATGGACTATGAAGAGCTTCATAGGATGAAGATCAGCCGTGAGATTTCCAAAGAAAGAGTAAATTTCAGCCTCTTATTTTTAGAATACCCATATAGGCACTCCGCTTTATTTGAGCCCTGAGATGCTCATGAGTCATTTGGCTTGATTTAGCTCAGATTTGTGGGCGCTAGGTTGAATTCTGTTCGAGTGTCTGACTGGCAGCGCCTTGTTCAGAGGTCAGCAAAAGTGGGAAATTGAGGATAAGATTAGAAATAATGATTTTCCAATAACTGAAGATATTGATGGGGATGCAAAAGACCTTATGACAAAGCTACTCAGGAAGTGCCCCTTCAAACGTCTTGGAGCTGGTGAAGAAGGCTCTAAGTATAGCCTCGAAGAATTGAAGAACCATCCATTCTTTAAAGGATATAGCTTCGAGACTGTTTGTTCAGAAGTACCTCCGCTGTCTAAGGAAGAAAGGAAAATATACTATGAGAAGTATTTTAAAAATAATGACTACACACATTATGAGTAAGGGTCAGTTGCTAATACATAGACTCGGTGAAGAGAACATTGATGTTTCGTCAATTCATGCAGAGATTCCTCTCAAATCAAGCCCTTTAAAACTAAGACATGCAAAGCTTGAGGTTGATAGGCTCAGGCAATACCCAACCGGACCGGTTAGATTGATCAAGAACTTAAGTGACAACAATAAATTGATAGCCAAGAAAGACTATAAGATGAGGCTACTAGATTTCAGATCTACTAGATAAATATAATTTCGGTCTTTTAACTATTTCAGTCTTATTAAGACTCACGATGCTTAACTCGGGCTTCTCTCGTTCATTGAACTCTTCCTTGAAACTGCACTTTAAGTCTTTCTTAAGCAACCATGTCTTGGATGAATTAGAAAATGGTTTATTGGTATAATTTCTAATTCTCCAATTCTGGCTATGTCTCTAGGGGTTTTGGGGTTTTGGGGTTTTGGGG